GACAGTGAAGGCATCTGTTTTACAGTGCTCACCGCTTCGTGACAAGGTGCGAGGAAAGGTGCGAGAGCAGTGTGAGCGACCCCTAAACTCGAGCATCAATCGCATTCGTCGCAGAAGAATTGCACACGAAGCGGCCCGTCGGTGGTCACCAATATGGGAACAACTGTGTTGTTACCCATAAGCGTAGCTTGGAAGCCACTAGTCGTTTCGTCCCGGTCCCCACTACTGGACTCATCAGTAAGGCTGCGTAGTGGGAAACCTGCCTTATACGACCATGGGAAAGTGAGAGTTGGACCGTGTATATATGCTACACGCCAAGCAACATCTACACTTGTGAGAGAGCACATGGGTATTGACCAATGGCAGAGACATCCATTGGCCAACCCCCACATATATACGACATAAGAGTCCTCTATAAGAGATAATACAGTAAGAGCGCGAATATCAAACACCAACACTCTCCCTGAAATCGCGCACTGAGGTCATTTGTTTGATGAAACACCAATTCTGAAAACACATTCCTTATGTTTTGGTCCTGGTAGCCCTTTCGTGAGTACGTCTGCTAACATCTTCTCCGTGGGAATGTAGACCAATTTGATCGGATATTCCTTTAATGCATGGCGAATGAAGTGATGTCTCACATCAATATGCTTTGATCTCGAATGATGCACCGGGTTTTCTGCGAGTTTTCCTGCCCCTTGATTATCATTGAACACGATAACATTGGCGAGTTCCGGATGTCCCAGTTCTTTGAGAAAACTGATGATGTGTATGGCCTCTTTGGCGGCTTGCGATGTGGCCATATATTCCGCTTCTGTAGAGGACAGAGCGACTGTACGTTATTTTCGTGACTTCTACGAAATTGCGGCTTCGTTCAAGATGAATACGGATCCCGTATAAGATCGCCTGTTGACAGCGCAGTTGGCCCAATCAGCGTCCATATAAGCTTTCAAAACAGTATATCCCTTTTTGAATTTCAAACCTTGATCAGCGGTTCCCTGAAGGTATCGAAGGATACGCTTGGCTGCAGACCAGTGTTCTCGTTTGGGGTTGCTGCTGAACTGTGAAAGTGCGCTAACAGCGTGCGCAATGTCAGGACGAGTACCCAGAGCGACGTACATCAATGCGCCTATTAATTCCCTGTATGGGAACGCGGTATCCTGTGAACGATCATCCGCTTCTTTGGTCAGCTTGGTACCCGCGGAAATTGGAGTGCTGACAGGTTTTGAGCCGTCCATTTTGAATCTCTTCAGAACTTCCTTGATGTAGGTAGTCTGCGATAAGAAAATACTCTCCCTGGAACATGTCACCTCTATCCCAAGACAATGTCGGGCTTCCCCGAGGCCCTTGACCTTGAATTCTCTGGAAAGTCGATTTTTGATTAGTTTTACCTTTGACGAGTTTTTCGAGAACAAGAGAATGTCGTCCACATATACTAGAATATACATATACATATACTAGAAGGCCAATCGTCAATGGTACACCAATTTGGTGTACCATTGACGATTGGCCTGGCGCAAATCGTAAATCGCTCTTTTCAGCTTACAAACCTTGGTGTTGTCAGTCATCTGGTTCAACATCTTACTGGCTCTTCTTGAAAGTTCGGAATTTTCATTCTTGATGATTCTCTCGAGCATTTCAGGTAGAAGATCTGGCTGCTCCGTGTACACCGTTGTATCCATCTCGCCGTTCAAGTATGCAGTCTAGATATCTAATTGGGTAATTTTTAAATCGAATCTCGCGGCTAATGCGACCATTAATCTCAATGAGCTAAGACGCGCGACTGGTGCAAAGGTTTCGAAGAATTGTACCCCGGGCATCTGAGCAAATCCTTTCGCTTCCATTTGGTCCGAATTTGTTTCGTAGAATAGTCCGACACTTGATAACTTTTTCGTTTTTTGGTCTGTCGACTAGTTCGAATGTTTGATTTAAGACAAGGCTCTTGATTTCACTGTAGATCGCGTCCTCCCATTCGTCACCATCTGGTCCAGACAGAGCATCTCGAAGGGGAACTTCAGTGGCACTCATGGCTAGACAAACATCACGATCCCAGCCACGGAAGTCCTCTTATCTGTTGATTTTCAGGTATCTGATCATTTGCGACTGCAGGAGCTTCAGGAATTGCAGCTGGTTCATTGACAACAGGGATGTTATCGGAAGCATTGTGGAGGGGAATGAATTCGACTTCTCGAGTAGATGTTGATTCCAATTGATCACTCGTGGTTGAATATTTATTTGTGAAAACGACGTCACGAGTTATGTGAATCTTTCTCTCCGAAGGCGACCAAATTCGATAGGCTTTCGCGTTTGAGGCTGCAGTCCCATGGCAGCGTTTTGCGTTGCGTTTTGTCACTAGACCATGAGTGTAAAAGAGATGCAGATATATGTTTGCTATGTTTACACTCAGGGTCTAGTGACAAAACGCAACGCAAAACGCTGCCATGGGACTGCAGCCTGAGGCATAGCCAACAAAAATTCCTTGTATTCCACGTGATTTCAGCTTGTCCTTATTCGGAGTTTTATCGTGAAAATACACTTTGGTGCCGAATTTCTTGAGGTGTCTCAGATCAGGTCGTTTTCCGGTCCTTTTTTCGTGTGGCGTTACAGCGCCTAATAACTTGGTGATGCACCTGTTTCTGATGTAATTTGCTGAAGTCACTACTTCCCCGCAGAATGACATCGGCAACCCGGAATCAATCAACATACATCGAGCTGGTTCCATGAGAGTTCGATTTTTGCATTCCACAACGCCGTTTTGCTGCATAGTGTATGGTGCCGTCAGTCGATTCTTTATTCCTGATCCTCGCAAAATTTGATCCATGCGCGTGTTACGGAATTCGGTCTCGTTATCGGATTGAAGGGCTTTTATTTTTAAGCCTGTGTGGTTCTCGGCAGCGTTTTTGAATTTGATAAATTTCGAGGTTACTTCGAATTTGTCCTTGAGAAGATAAATTTCCGTCCATCGGCTGTGATCATCGGTAAAGGTTAAAAGGTAACGAGCTCCGCCTTGAGTACGCGTTCTCATCGGGACGCACAAATCTGTATGCACGACTTCGAGAAGGGAAGAGGTTCCCTGACTTCCTTTGGGGAAAGGGGCACGGGTATTTTTTCCTGCAGAACAAGTGTCACAAGGGAGAACTTCACTGTCTGTTTCGAATTTTAGACCAGTCACTGCTTCCTTCCGCAACATAGTATTCATATCTCTTCTGTTTAAATGTCCCAATCGCTTGTGCCATTCGTTTGTATCACAATTTTCACTTTGCACAACACTGGCATTTGCGACTTCGGGTTCAGAATGCACGATAAACAGATCACCTTTGCGACTTGCAACGAGTTTCACATTACCGAATTCATCTTTTACTTTTGCGTCCGTTTTTGTGAAAATAACGCTATTACCCCTGTAAACAATTTTCGAAACTGACATTAAGTTGGTGCTCAATGTTGGCACATAAAGCGTGTTTTGTAGCATAAAAGTTTTGTCGCGTTTCCCGTCAGAAGCTATTACACGAACGTTACCCTTTGCCGTCACGTCGGCTGTCATGTCACTAGCCATTCTCACGCCGGATTTCACTTCATGCGAATCGGTAAAAAGATGTGCGTTGTTGCACAAATGAGATGTGCTACCGCTGTCAAGGCACCAATCTTCACTCATCGTGGTACTATACGAGGAATCTTGTCGACGATCAGTAATTTCACTCGCGAGGAATATGTCGTCGACGGCATTGGCATTATCACCTTTCGCTGTTTTTCGCTTAAAACATTTCGCGGTTCTGTGGTTCGTTTTACCACAAAAATCGCACTTTGATTTTTCCCGATTATTCGAGCCGGAATCTTGTTTGTTTTCACGATTGTTTCCCGCGGAGTTCTTCGAAGACCATTTCGAATTCGCGCGTTGATTTTTGGCAAACATAGCGTCAATAGTGTTTTCGTCACTTTTGTGTTCGCGAGCAAAACTTTCTTCGATAATCTTTTCGATTAATTTGTCGACATTCGGTAAAGTGTCACGTGATTTCACTGCACAACAAAAATTTGCATAACTATTCGGCAGGCTATGTAATTTTATTTATTGTTAACAGGTCGCCGTTTATGTCAATTTGCATTTGTTGTAAGTTGTCTACGATATTCATGAACCGAGATAAATGGTCGCGCACGTCGACATTTTCTCGCATTTTCGATGACAACAGCTGTTCCAGGAGTGTAGCCTTTCTCGTCGGATCCTGTGATGCGTAAATAGATTTCAATTTTGTCTATATTTCGTGAGATGTGTCACAATTGCGAATGTGTTTCAATTGTGATGCACTTATGGAAAGGATCAGATCGGATCGGGCCATTCGATCTTCTTGTGTCCATTGATTTCAGTGTTGCCAGATACACCGCATTTCCGCATTTTACACCGCAATTTAAGGTCTTTATCCGCAATCCGCATTGACAAATGCGGATCACGAAAAATTCCGCATTTTGGCGAAAGACTATCAAAACATAAAATTAATATGTAATTTTTATTAGCTCTCAGTTTTTATTTTATACTTGTACGTAATTTTACCTAAATTGGACTTCTTTTGTGGAAAACCAATCAAATTAATGGATTTTATGCTGGGCGTGTGATTGCACCCTAACACTTTGATGTCGTTTCTCATCAGCTGTTTCTCGAAATAAATCAAGAGCACATGTGTCAGTTGTGTTGTACAAACTTATTTTCTACTACATGCGTTTTAAAATATAATTGAAGTTAGACAATTTGAAAGTAAGTTTAAAAACACTTTTGAATTTCCTTTAAATATCCTTAATAAAATATATTTTTAATGCTCCTGTATTATATTAATAAGAAAATGAAATAGATAAATTTTAAAACGAACATAACCTCTTTTTGTCTCTTAATTTGTTTAATATAGATTTGAGATTATAAGCATGAGATCGTCCCAAGATGAAGATCAGGAAAGCGAGCCTGAAGAATACGAACATCAAACTCCTTCAAAAAGGTCAAAGATTCATTCTAAAAGGAAACACACACCTGCAATTTACAATGTCAAATTGCAAACTGAATTTGCTTTCCTCAAGCCACACTCTTCAGATCCGTACAAGGCGCAGTGCAAGTTGTGCCCTGCAAGTGCCAATGGAAGGATTGCTTCGTTTCGTTGTGAAAGGTTATTTTTAGTTTTTTATCATAAACATCATACTGTTAAATGTGTTGTTTAAAATATTATTCTTTTTTTTATAGAAGTGACATCGAGAGACATGTTAAATCAGAACGTCACATTGCCAGCTGCAAAGAGGTAAAATCAGGACAATGCAAATCTTCCTGGCAAACAACGCGGAGAATAAGGAAGCGATAAAGTTTGAAAACCAAGTGAAATACGCAGAATTAAAATTGTGTGGTTTCTTTGCTGCTCACAATGAGGCATTTATGAAAATGGACCATCTTCTGGATGTTTTAAAGCAGATATTTCCTGACTCAAAAATCGTTCAAGGAATTTCCTGCAAAAGAACGAAAACGAAAGGAGTAATAATGAATGTACTGGGCGTCGACGAAAAAGAAAATTTGGTTTCTGTTTTGAAAAAAAACAAGTTTTCTATTTTAGTTGACGAGTCCACAGACATCTCATCTGTAAAAACATTTTGCATCTTGGTGAGGTTTTATGCTGAAAATTGCGGTAAAATTTTATCTCGGTTTTGGGATTTGCAACAAGTTTTCACAGAGAGTGATCCAGATGGGGCAGAGGAAGGTGCAACTGCAAGAAGATTATTCACCATCATGAAAAAGACATTTGACAAACATCAGATACCATTTGCAAATGTTGTAGGCTTTGGATCTGATGGTTGCAACACGATGATGGGTGGCGATAATAGCGTCGCTTCGAGAATGACAGAATTGTGTCCAGGATTGCGGGTGTGCAAGTGCCTTTGCCACTCTTTGCATCTTTGCGCAAGTGAAGCTTGCAAGTGTCTTCCACGCTCTACAGAAGATCTCGCTCGAAACATTTATAACTTTTTTAAAACCAGTGCCAAGAGACGAGCCCAATTTTCCGAATTTCAATCTTTTGTGGAGGTTGATGTTTTACGAATGCTTCATCCTAGCCAAACCAGGTGGCTTTCATTGACCAGTGTGATCAATAGAATTTTAAATCAATGGGAAGCTCTTCGTCTTTTTTTTGATGCCAAGTGGTTTGAAGAACGTTTAGAATCTGTCGAAAGAATTCATGTTCTTTTAAATGATGCTGCGACAAAGCGTTTTATTTGTTTTTACAGTGGGTTTTACCCAAAGTGACAAGCATGAATGAACTCTTTCAGTCAGAAAAGTCGGTTGTCACAGTTGTTCATGATAAAATGAATGAGAGTTATTATGATTTGTTGGCATGTTTTATGAAGAGGAATTATATCCACACGACACCAGCCAATGAAATTTATCCAACTGATGAATCGAAATGGTTGCCTTTAAACCAGCTTTATTTGGGAATTGCTGTCAGTAATCAGCTTCTTCTACCCGAATTGATTCAAAGACCAGAGGTGGTCCATGACATTAAATTCAGATGTCGCCTCTTTTTGATCACTTTGTGCGATCAGTTAAAGAAAAGGTATTTATTACGTTTACTAATCTAAAAATTATTTATAAAATATATAATTCTAAAAATCATTTTTAAAAAATAATATTTTTTATTATTTAATTAACTGTTGCAGATTTGACTTTGATGATCCCGTGTTGATGCGTTTAAAATTATTTGCACCAGCAACTGCTTTGTCGCAGAGGGAAAGAGAGTCCACACCTTCTCTTCAACCATTAATGGTGCTGATGCCACGAATAATTGGCCCAAACGATGCAGGTAAACAGGGCTCATTCATTTTTTGTAATACGAATAATATACTAGTAAATATTTACTGATATTAAATTATCTAAGTAAAAAATATTAAACAATAATTTTCATTTCAGAAAAAATGCAAGAAATAGATGATCAGTGGAGGACACTGCCATTTCAAAGAGAGAATTTTCAAGACTTGAGAGATCTAAAAAATCCCGAAGATTTCTGGCACCAGGTTTGTTGTATTTCCAGCAAATTTATTGATCTTTCTAAAAGATAAATTAAAATAAAATTTTTAAAATTATTCATTTCTATTTATTTATCAATTTAAATTTAAAAATTACATAAATAATTGTATATTTGTTGCATTTTTATTCTTATATCTTTCAGGTTAACATTTTCAAGGATGAAATAGGAGACAGGCCGTTCTCTACTCTCGCTTGGTTTGCATTAGAAGTTTTATCGATTTCAATCGCTAACGCCGATTGTGAAAGAGTGTCCTCAAAAATCAACGATGTCAAGACAAAGAAAAGAAACAAATTAATTACTTCAACTGTATGTGGTTTGCTACATGCTGACACAATTGTTCGTGATAGTGGAAATTGTTGTATTGCTTTCCAACCACGCCAAAGTATGTATGACAGAATGATCTCTTCAAATATTTATAGATCCGTTGCAGAAAACGAAGAAGAGTTTAACGATATTGATAATATATTTGCTGAAGCATAAAAGTAAAAGGCTTGTGAAGCAACTTAAAGCAATGTTTTTGTTTAAGTGTTTAAATTAACCAAAAGAAAGAATTTTACGAATTTATAAGACTGTTTGTAAAATAAAGTATTTGTACGTTTATTAAACTGAATAAGTAGACGAAGAAGAGTTAAATGATATTGATAATATATTTGCTGAAGCATAAAAGTAAAAGGCTTGTGAAGCAACTTAAAGCAATGTTTTTGTTTAAGTGTTTAAATTAACCAAAAGAAAGAATTTTACGAATTTATAAGAATGTTTGTAAAATAAAGTATTTTTAATCTGAATAAGTAGAGTTAAATAATGTAGTATGTTAATTATAAACTAATTAATGTGATACTATTAATAAGTTTGAAATCTGAAGCATTCTATATACATATGTGACAAATCTATGTTTTGTTGTAAAAAAAATTCTACGAAAATATATTTTTTATTCAGTGAGACATTATTAACAATCTGATTAATTTATTTAACACCTTTATTATGAAACTAAAATGTTAGGATTCATTTATTGTTTTCATTTGATTTATAATACACATATAAAACGTGAATAATAAACAATGGTTCTATTTTAACAAAAAAGTTTTTTCATACGCTTTTAAATAAATATTTATGTTTAAAAAATTAAGAAAAAAACTTTACAAATAAATTAAGTCTTTTTAATTATTAGTTTTTTACCTATATGTAACTAAAATAATCTTTAAAAACAATTTTTTAAAAAATCCGCTTTTTGAAATTGAAACCCGCATTTTCGCGCCTGCGCTTCCGCAATCTTCGAAATCGAGTCTGGCAACACTGCGTCGAATAGAGCTCTGGGCCCATAACCTATTGGAGCGAGCGTGAGTGGGATAACGAACATTAAACGAAATTATTTGAAGATACTTGATTTATTTAATATAAACGTATAAAAGGAAATTGACTGAATTGACTTGTTACAGTAATCGTTTTAGACTGTGTGAGAATCATAGATGTGTGAGTGTAATGCATGTATATACTACATAAGAGTCCTCTATAAGAGATAAAACAGTAAGAGCGCGAATAAACCAACAAAGTTTATAAAAAATTGTCGATTTGCTGAGGACTCGGTTAATTCCAATGATCGTTATCATTTATTTCAAATGATTAGATCAAGGATAGTGGGAGATGCCGAATCCTCTTTAGAAACTCAAGAAATAAATAACTTAGAGGATCTCTTAAAATATTTAAAATTAACCTTTGGTGAATATAAACAAATAGGACAATTAAATTCAATGCTAGCCAGAGTAGCACAAAAAATTGGGGAAACAGTTCATGTTTATGGAAGTAGAGTGGGAGAAATTTTAAATCAAATAATAGATCTAATTAAAGAGAAAAATGACACTGAAGTGGCTATCGGCATGGTAAAGTCAGCTCGAGATGCTGCCACCGAAAATTTTATGATGGGGTTAAGAAAAGAATTAGCGTTACGTGTAAGATTAGAAAAACCGAAAAATCTGTTAGAAGCAATTAATATAGCTAAAAAGGCCGAGTGGGAGGAAAATTTTGAAGAAACCTTATCAAGAGAAGTAAAAGATAAAATTAATGAATCAAAACCTGAAATTTCCAAGTCATATTTAAATCAAAAATATCGATCCTATCGCGAAAACCCAAGAATTCGAATTATGTCAAAAAGAAAATTTAATCGGGAAAGAGAATTTCGAAAAGAAAACGAGAAAATTTCAGAGCTACCAGTAAAAATGGAAAAAATTGAAAATTTAAATAAAAAGGAGGGAAATTTAGAATTTACATTTTATGGGTGTGGGCAAGTAGGTCACATGAAAAGAGAATATCCGAATAAACAAAAAATTAAGGTTTGTTATAAATGCGGAAAAGAAGGTCACATAAGATTCTTTTTTGAGTAAAGAAATTGTTTATCTAGGACATGTAATAACTGAAAATGGAGTAAAACCAGATCCAAAAAAGGGCGAAGCTGTTCAAAACTTTCCACAACCCAAAAACTGTAAAAATATTAAACAATTCCTGGAGGTAGTAGGCTTATTATCGGCGGTTCGTCCCTGATTTTGCTAAAATAGCAAAACCAATGACACAATTATTAAAAAAGAATGTAAAATTTAATTGGAGTTTGGAGGTAGAATCAGCTTTTAATAAATTAAAAGAAAAACTGTGTACGTAACCCTTATTACAGTATCCTAATTTTCATAAACCTTTTATTGTGACGACCGATGCCTCTGATTTTTCAATAGGTGCAATATTAAGTCAGGGGGAAATCGGGAAAGATTTGCCAATTGCTTATGCATCTAAAACTTTAGCTGGAGCAGAGTTAAATTATAGTACAACAGAGAAAGAATTGTGGGCAATAGTTTATGCAATAAAACAATTTCGGCCTTATTTATTTGGTAATAAATTCACAATCGTGACTGATCAAAGGGCATTAGTTTGGCTAAATCAATTAAAAGATCCAACAATAAATTCTAGATTGGCGAGGTGGAAGATCAAATTACAAGATTATGATTACGAAATTGTGCACAGACCAGGAAGGGTAAATGCCAATGCCGATGCTCTTTTTCGAAATCCTATATCTAATGATAAAAAATTAAGGTTAAAGGAACATTTAATTGAAAATTAAAAAAAACAAGAATTTGATCTCGATAGAAAATTAAATGTAAATTTCATTGAAAGGGTTTTTGTTAAATATGTAAGTAGGGAAATGGAAGATAATGAAATTGAAAGAATGAAAAGTGAAGAAATGAGGATGAGAACTGAAATTGAAAAAGATAAGAGAAAAGAGGGTGAATGTAAGAAAATAGACGAAAACAATGAAAATGACGATACGATTACAATTTACAAAAGGACAGAGATTTCAAAGGGGTATAATGTTATTTATAAGAATCAAATTAATCAAAGTATTTCTATTGATAGCGGAGAGGACATGGATCCATCCTCGCCGAGATCTTGGAATACTAGAAATAAAATAAATTCAAAATCTAACGTCAAAAAATTTAAAGAAAAAATACCTTTTTGAAAAGGCAGACACAATCAAAAGAAAAAGGAATTTCGATTGTGCAAGTGAAAAGGAAGGTCAAGGTTACTTCAAAAAGGGAAGTGTTAAATGTAAATCATCACCGGTTCTGATTGGGCAGTTGAATACCGTAGATATGGGTGAAAAGGATGTCTCCTTGTTGCTTCCGGAAATAAAATCGGTAACACCTGGAAAGTCAGGTGCTGGTTCGGCTCAGCCAGGGGCGTCTTTCCGGCCCATAGAGAGGGATGAGAATTTCCCTTTTCAGAAGCCGGAGTTTGAAAAGATTGTGTTAGGGGAGGATGCCAAGGAAAATGAAAATGGCATGTCCTCCGGAACACCAGAAATGACAAATATACATGGCCATAGACAGAACGTGACAAATAAGACAGAGGAATCGACAGAAGAAAGAATGAAAAAATGGAGTGAATGTGGTTCAAATGATTCTGATGATAGTTTAGAAAATAGGGATGAAATTGAAGGAATATTTAAATTTTCAAAAGGAATTAAAGAGAAAGATGTTCAAATATTGGCAATTCCCGATGAATTATTTCAAATGTCAAAAGAAAAATTATGGATGAGAAACGATAACTTAATAAACTTTATGTCTTGTGATTATGTTATTTCCACACCACAAAATATTAAATTGCAAGAAGCAGGATTGTTGGATTTACAAAAAATATTGGTAAAAGTTAGTGATATTCTCAGTTCAGGTAAAAAGGATAA